ACATTAAACAGCCCCACAGAGGAGGGAGGGGCGGGGCGGGGCGGCTGTCGCCGTGCAGCGCAGCTGTCCTGCGTCTGACCTCAAAGTGCACAAGCTTCAAATTTCAGCGTTGGCTGCGATTTTGACGCTGAAATCGCGTTCGGTGTGAACGCACCATAACATCCTAACACTGTGGCTGACCTTTGACCTTTGTCAAGCTCCCCTTCCAGAGACTAAAAGGGTCTCCTAAAGAAACTGTCTGCCCAAACTTAAATTCCTCTGAAAAGTATCAACTAAACATTTTCCCTGTTTCACTTTAAACTATTCATAAAAAACCCAGTTAAAATAATGTGTTGCCTACCCCAGGGGTTCTCAAACGTTTTGGGTCTGGGGACCACTTACAAGTGTGAAACATTTCCAGGGACCCCCTTATAAACCCCATGCTGTTTTAAAAATAGTTTACTGTCATTTTACCTCCTAAACGCCATGGGAATATATCTTTTGTTTGGTTTAGTATGTTTGTTTTACTAGCGTATTGTTATCCATATGCATTTTTTAAAAATAAAAGTCAAATGAACAATTCATTCAACATTTTTGAGGACCACTAAGATATGACTCACAGACCCCTGGGGGGGGGGGTCCTGGGACCCCAGTTTGAGAACCTCTGGTCTACCCACTTATTAGTTCTGCTAGCTTGCAAGTTTGCCAAGGACTGTCCCTTTTGCACCTGCTAATTCATTGTGATTTTATTTAAAAAAGAAAACTTTTTAACATTTAATGTTTTGTTTGAAGTACATTTCATATGCTTAAAATGTTTATTACATGCTTAAAGTTTTTCTCTGTGATCATGTTCTGTTTAATTTTCTCACTAATTAATGCTTATGATTTGCATAAGAAGAAGAATCATTTAGCTTAGGTTTCATTTAATCGTGTGTTTTCCATTTAATCAATAGTCATTGTGTAGAAATAAATGCACTTTTCAATAATGGTATGCCCAAATAAAAACAGGAATCCACTGGATTTCTTCTCAAAACTTCAACAATCAGGTTCACAGTACAGCACTCAGCAGGCCATGGTATAAGACCTTGGACTGAAACCAAAACAAAACAGCAGCCCTGCTCTAAGCAGAGACTTCTAATGTAATTCTCCTCCTGGTTACACCCCTGGAGGTGCTGCCTTTTGTGTCAGACATAGAACATAACTCATTTTTGTTTAGGCTAAAAGAAAGAACACAAGATAACCCACACACCAACTCTCAATGGGCCTCATGCAAGAACCGTTCGTAAGCACAGATTTGTTCTTAAGTTGTGCGTATGAGTGATTTAGGAGAATTTGTGGCATTCACCAATGTTTTCGTATTCTAAGATTTTTTTCAGATATGAACAAATTTTACGTGTGGTCCAGACCTGTCGTATATTTTACGAGCAGTCAGTCTGCTGTTATCCAGACGGATTTTCTTCCCTAATAACTTTATATTTTGTTAGTTTGAAGATATTTTGAGTTGAAAATAAATCACACTCCATAATTATGTTGACAATAGGATATTCTGCTTGAATTAGAGTTATAATTTTAAATGTAATAATTTAGACTGACAATATAAATTGTCCGTCCGGCCGGCTTATCCGGGATCGGGTCGCGGGGCAGCAGCAGAGAGACCCAGACTTCCCTCTCCCCAGCGACACCTTCCAGCTTGTTCTGGGGGACTCTGAGAYGTTTCCAGGCCAGAGGGGATAATTAATCCCTCAAGCGACTCCTGGATTTTCTCCAAAGTGCCAGACATATTTTGAAAACATTTTAAAATGCTTATTTCAGAACCGCAACTGAGACCACTTGAGACCGCGCCCCAGGGGGTACAGTGCACAGCGCTGCGGCTTCTGAATAAATGAAAAATGATTTAACACAGTTGTTTATACTTTTAGCAGCTCTTTGTATTCCACAGCTGAGCTGCTAAAAATGACAGATTTTCTTTTCTGGATCTCTGACAGACGGACTTCAATCTCTGAACTCGTAAAGTTTTTCTTTTTAGTTTTAGCTGTCATTTTCATGAATGGACACTTCCTTGTATCTGAGGCAGGAAACATAGCCTTATATGGTGTTTTTGGGGTGGTAATTATGCTAATCTCCTCTCGCGTGCATGAGGAGCTGGATACGAACAGGTGGAATTTACACAGCTCATTTACACACTTTTCCTGAAGATAGAAGAGTTTGTTGAATCTGACGTGGCATGTTCGTACGAACCCTTTGTACGAACAAAAGTAAGAGAAATTTAGGATAAGAATACAAACATATTCTTGCATGAGGCCCATTCTGTTTAAACTTAAAGGCTGAAATGATCAGAAAGTATAAAATACAATACTGTATCTAACATATAGTTAATCAGTTACAAAATTTCCTTCAACTGGTCAATTAGTAATTCATTGATTTAATTCATTAGTATTGTTTTGTTTTACACTGATCTGAGTATAATTTCTAGCAGTGAGTAGGTGACCCTTTGTCTGAACCCASCCATTTTTCAAGTGAACAAAACTATTGGAACATGTGACTGACAGCAGTTTCTTATTGAGCAGGTGTTGCCTTTAAGCTTGATTGTTCAAATGATAAATAGTTCTGCATGACTAATCCACTTTTTGGCCTGGGTTAAACCTTCAAAGTAAGTTTTTCTTGTAAAAGAGGATAAAACAACATAAAGACCAGAGAGCTGTCTATGGGAGAAAAGCTGACAAGAGAGGGAAAATCAATCAGAGCCACTGGACAAACATTGGGCTCACCAAGCACAATAATTTGGAATGTCTTTATGTCCTGAATAATAAAGAAACTACTGGTGCACTGAGCAGCACACATCCAACAGGTCGGCCAAAACACAAAACAAAACATCAGTAAGTATCATCAATATCCTAAGTTGTTTAACTCATCTCCAAGCAAATACCAGGAAATAAAAACTGACATAAATGTCTTCAGTGTCCAACAAAAACAAGAGAATTAGACTTGCTGTTCAAATACTTTTGGAGGGGACTTTATGTCGCAACATTTCAGTGTATCAAAATTTTCTTACAGCTTTTTTCCTTTTTCTAGTGTTTACTGGATTTATAAATTTTTAATATGTTACGAAAACAATTTGAGCTTTTAAGGACAAAAAGTCTTTTTTAACGAAAAGGTCAGATGATCTAATTCACTGTTTTCATTATGAAAGTGTAATAAGTTAACAAAAAGTAAGGTGAGCCTATGCACAAACATTTTTGTTTTGTATACTTGCCCACAATCGAAAGGATGACCACAACCACGTCAAAGATGTTCCAGCCATTAGTGAAGTAATAGTGTCGTAGCGCAAACAGCTTCAGCAGAAACTCTCCGGTGAAGATCACAATGAATATGAAGTTGACCCAGTAGAGCACGTACTCTGTGTCGTCTGACTGATCGTCTGTCTCCACCATCATGGTCACCATGTTTAGGCAGATGAGAATCATGATAGAGATGTCAAATACCTGCTGTGTCACAAAGTCAAACACCATGCCCTGGATCTTGTTCTGAAAAAAAATGGGAGGAAAAAAAAAAATCACACTTTGGGTTATTTTCTCAGTTTTAAAACTTAAAACATGTTAAACTTGTCTACTTTTGGTGATTGTAATGGTTTACCTGAGGCCTTGGTATTGGTTTTTGTGGTTTCTTTGACCCTAGTTTTTTCATGGCATTGTAGTATTTCTTTTGCTCTTCCGTCATGAAAATATCCTGACCTCCAAAGTAAAGAGACATAAACAATTTGGTTACAATTTGCAAATCTGTGGCTCTTCTCATTTTCTTAAAGATAAACCAATGTATTTATCTGAAAGCAAAGTAAACCACGTGACAGAGAAGAAAATTGGTCTTATCTTTTTCTTCTGTTGGTTGAAGTTATCAATGATGACACCAATAAAGAGGTTTAAGGTGAAGAAAGAGCCAAAGATGATGAATATGACAAAGTAGATGTACATATAAAGGTTGTCCTCATAGAGGGGCTGATCTTCCACCTGTGAAGCAACAAAAAGAAACAGGCTTCAAAGTAGAAATTAGGCAAAGATCTGAAAGTCTGGTCATCAAAAAATTTTATACTGTAAAAGCCTACCTTTCTAGAATCTATTGCTGCATACATGATGTCCATCCAGCCTTTAAATGTTGCCTGTGATGCAGACAGTCACAGTGTAAGAGAGGATGTTTGTCAGGAGAAGAAAAAGGAAAATGATGCAGCACAAACAACAACAAAAATGTATCTTACCACTTGCAAGAGAGCCAGATACCCAGCACCCACATTGTCGAAGTTGATCTTGACGTTTTTCCATCTRACTTCACTGTAATTTGCATTAATCAGAGCAAAGCACTCCGTTTTGTTGTTCACGTCGTCCGGCTCAAAGTATTCTTCCGCTGTCTCATTAAAGCAGTAATAATACTTCCCGGCAAACAAGTTGACACCCATGATGCTGAAGATGAGCCAGAAGATGAGACACACCAGCAGCACGTTCATGATGGAGGGAATGGCGCCCACCAAGGCATTCACTACAACCTGAGGAGAGCAGTGAAGAAACAAAACTGTGATTTAACCCCTCAAACAGTAGCTGAATGAGGATGTTCACACAGGAGAACATCAACATGCACATAGAAATGCACACCTTTTTTTAGTTGTAGTTTCTTGGCACATGTTTAAGCCACTTATATGTCAAAAAGGAGTGTAAAAATACACAGCATATAACCCACAAATGACAAATGTTGCATCACAAAACAAACTCAACTAAACAAACTGTAATCTGTTTTTATAGATCGAGAGCAAATGTCTTAAAATGACAGTATTAACTTTTATTTGGGCAACATTTTACACATTCTTTTTATTATTCCTGGAATCAAACGGGACACTTGATGTTGTAGTTGACATCAATGTGTTAATATTTACAGTTCGGTCCATACATATATTTGGACAGAGACAACATTTTTCTAATTTTGGTTCTGGACAGATTACCACAATGTATTTTAAACAAAACAATTCAGATGCAGTTGAAGTTCAGACTTCCAGCTTTAATTCAGTGGGTTGAACAAAATGTTTGCATAAAAAATGTGAGGAACTAAAGCATCATTTAAACACAACCCCTTCATTTCAGAGGCTCAAAAGTAATTGGACAGATTAAATAATTGTAAATAAAATGTTCATTTCTAGTACTTGGTTGAAAAACCTTTGTTGTCAATGACTGCCTGAAGTCTTGAACTCATGGACGTCACCAGACACTGTGTTTCCTCCTTTTWARTGCTCTGMCAGGCCTTCACTGTGACGGTTTTCAGTTGCTGTTAGTTTGTGGGCCTTTCTGTCTGAAGTTTAATCTTTAACAAGTGAAATGCTCAATTGGGTTGAGATCAGGTGACTGACTTGGTCATTCAAGAATCTTCCACTTCTTTGCTTTAATAAACTCTTGGGTTGCTTTGGCTTTATGTTTTGGGTCATTGTCTATCTGTAGGATGAAATGACGACCAATCAGTCTGGCTGCATTTGTCTGATCTGAGCACACAGTTTGGCTCTGAATACAGTACCTCAGAATTCATTGGGCTGCTTCTGTCCTGTGTCACATCAGTAAACACTAGTGACCCAGTGCCACTGGCAGCCATGCATGCCCAAGCCATCACACTGCTCTGTTGTGTTTTACAGATGATGTGGTGCTTTGGATCATGAGCTGTACCACGCCTTCACCATACTTTTCTCTTTCCATCATTCTGGTAGAGGTTGATCTTGGTTTCATCTGTCCAAAGAATGTTCTCCCAGAACTCTGCTGCCTTTTTACTTTTTTTTTTTTTAGCAAAGTCCAGTCCAGCCTTTTTATTCTTGGCTTATGAGTGGCTTGCAGCGTACAGTGAACCCTCTGTATTTACTTTCATGCAGTCTTCTCTTTATGGTAGATTTGGATATTGATACTTCTACCTCCTGGAGAGCATTGTTCACTTGGTTGGCTGTTGTGAAGGGGTTTCTCTTCACCATGGAGATTATTCTGTGATCATCCACCACTGTTGTCTTCCATGGGCACCCAGGTCTTTTTGCGTTGATGAGTTTTTCAGTGCTTTCTTTCTTTCTCAGAATGTACCAAACTGTAGATTTTGCCACTCCTAATATTGTAGCAATTTCACAGATGGTTTTTTTTTCCATTTTTGCAGCTTAAGAATGGCTTGTTTCACCTGCATGGAGAGCTCCTTTGACCGCATGTTTACTTCACAGCAAAACCTTCCAAATGCAAACACCACACCTCAAATCAACTCCAGGCCTTTTATCTGCTTCATTGAGAATGACATAATGAAGGGATTGCCCACACCTGTCCATGAAATTGCCTTGGAGTCAATTGTCCAATTACTTTTGGTCCCTTTAAAAACAGGATGGCACATGTTAAAGAGCTGAAACTCTTAAACCCTTCATCCAATTTTAATGTGGACACCCTCAAATGAAAGCTGAATGTCTGGACTTTATATCCATGTATATTATATAACTATAACTTGAATATGTTTCAGTAATCAGGTAAAAAGACAAAATTTGTGTCAGTGTCCAAATATACTGTATATATGGACCTAACTGTATTTTTCTGCTGCCATTCAGCTGTAACCAATTAAAATTTCGTCCAAATATTGAATTGATTGAAATGTTTTGTGCCACAATGTATTGCTACACTCCTATAAGAAATAGATTTTTTTCAAAACATGACATTCTGGCCCAATATAAACAATTGAGCAAACATATTTACACTACTATCTTCCAGCATCTGTGTAAATTTGGTCAGTTTCACACTTTATGAAGTGTTGATAACTAAGTATAATTTAAATGTGCATTTCCAGATGCAGTGGTGCCATGTAGACAAAAAGCAAAACTATAAACATACAACAAAATGTAAAAAAAAGTGTTTGCGTTTGTTCATGTTTCTTTGTCTAATATCATCAAACAGAGACAATGCAACTATGTGATAAATAACTATCACAGCAAAACCGTGATTGTGAAACTCATCGTGATGAGAATCACTGAGGAGTGATGAGCAGGGATGGCGGGGGAGGGGRGATATGCAACCAGAAGTTTGTTGATCTTCCAGTGTGACAATGCCAAAGCCAAACTGAGATAGGATCAGATAACGGGACACTTGAGGCAGAGCAGAAGTCAGAAGATGCCAAGCCTAAACACGAACCAAGATTTGTTTTCCTGCTCAACAACAACCAGAGGCTGATCAGACCCGTCTAAATCAACAATATTATTATTGTAGAAAGATAACTTCTTTTGGCTTTTCAAGGTAAAACTCTTTGGGTATCTGAACTTTTGATTAAAGATCAGTTAATTGTGTAACGGTTCGTTTGAACAGGAACAATACACTCACAAAAGCGTTAAGTAATCAGAAGTAGTGGTCTGATGGATGCAGTTTGGTACACATGCAGACCATCGATAAATAATTTACCTTACAAGGAGCTGGCATATCTAAAACGTGCACCAAAGAGCATTAAGTGGTGGCGTCACAAATGGAGCTTTAATGTCATCAGGCAGGTCCCACAGCATCTACCGATCAGTCAAAACAGTGAACCCTCCTTGACCACCGAACAGAAGAACCCTTCTAGACACATTACTTCTTCCAATGTAATGCCTGGTTCACATGACAAGATTTTAAAATTGTTTGATTTTCAGACTTGAGAGACCCGACACATGAGGATAAAAACTCAGCTATAACAGATTTGTTTTTACAGTGTGTGGTGAACAGCAACATGGAGAAAGACAACACACCACACTCAAACAGTTAGATGTCAGACGGGAAATCTCGCGAGACTTCGAGATCAAACGTGAGTTCGGAGTGAATAAACGTGGTTGTCGAGGAAGAAGCAGCGTTGATAGTTTGTGGATTATTTTTATAGAGAAAAAAAACAAAACATACAGACATCTCCGACGTCCACCAGACTTTCTGGTGATCCATGGTAGTTGTTTTGTCATCTGTATTTTGGATTCCCCTCTGTGTTTTCATCACCTCACTTTCTGATTGGCTACGCGTCGCATTCAACAGGCTGCAAGCTCGTTTGTTCTCAGGGAGCATCACACACGCTGGGGTACTGGGCCAAGACAATCAAACATGTTGAATATCCCTGATTTGAGATTGGAGTGGTTCTGACGTCCTTCCGAGCCAACTAGACCCCTCTGAACACACCACACACAGCAGGAATTTCTCCTGAGATTATCTTTAGAGCCATCACAATAACTGAAATGCCCTTAAGACTGTCAGAAGAGCAAAACCGGGCACAAAATCAGCACAATTATCAAGCCGTGTGAACCTGGCATTAGGCATTCAGATATCAAAACGGCTGGATGCTCAAACCACTGGGCACCCACATCAAGAAGGCTCTGCCTACCTAAAACAGACCACATCCCAGAAAGTTGTACCAAGCATTACAGAACCCCAAAACATCTACACCTACCATCCAAACCAAACCCTGTGTCATCCCACACGGTGTCTTGACAAGTGGAATCAGTTGGATTACAGGTTTGCAATCCTAAATTAGGCCGCTAACACCAGAGCAGAAATGGATGTCTATCTATCCTGAGACTGCACACTGGTCTTGACTTCATTCTGCATTGAATCACTTGTGTCTTGTCCTGACGAGTGCCACAACCTCCTGATACGGGATTAGAAGTGTGCACGTATTGCCAACTCTGTTACATTTGATCCAATTTACCATTTCAATCCAGTCATGACTTTTAAAACACATGTAGTTTTATAGTTTTATTTAATTTCCACCGCTCCATCTGGCTGCTTAATTCTTTTGTTTTTCAGTGAGTGTAATGATTCAGTTCTGTATTTCATGTTGAGAAGTTCGGATGTGACAGTTCATGCCAGCCTCTCGTTGTTTCTCAGCCAACATCTACACTGAGTTTTTATTGTGCTGCATCATTCAGGTAAATAGGTAGATAGAAGGGATACATTATTTAAACTGGATCATATTTTTAAGGGATAAATTGTAGCTAGTTGCCTGAACATAATGCTAAAATTTATCATATGTGATATCAAATATGATAAATCAAATCAGATGCATTACAGCCATCTGAGATGATCATCCATGCAAAAAAAGCTTCTCACTGATTCAAAGTATTGTAAAAAATTCCACTCCAAGAGATTTTAAGTTTKTATTGTTTTATTGCCATTTCTAGCATGCGTTAAAGCTTTTCTTTAAAACAGCATGCAAAAGGACCAGCTACCTGGTGCCTCAGGTCTTACCCTCATCCCTTCAAAACGTGACAGGGCCCTGAGGGGTCTCAAGGCCCTCAGTGTCCTGAGTGATTTAATCGGGCCTAGATCGGAGTAGCCCAAAGCATTAGCTATAAGGCTGACTATAGACACCTACACAGATAGGACAGAAGGAGAAGGAAAGACAGAAGCAAAGGAAGAGAGGACCCACACAGTTAAAAGGGATCTAGAGAGAAATAGGGACCCTATACCAACTGTAAGGATGGCTGTGTGATTAGTTACAGATAGGTACAAAAAAAGTCCTTAAGTGTGAAAATATTTCTACAACATAAACAACGTGGAAAAGTCAATAAAACGGACTTAGAATTGTTTTTTTTATGTGTTTGTGTTCGGTTTAGTTTTGGCAAGCCAGTCTAGCGTGATAACCAGCTTTACAAAACAGTGAGCACACCTGGAAAGAAACTTGTGGTTGACACAGTGAGAGGAAGAGAAGAGAGTCAAACAAAGGGACAAATCAGAGGAGAGATGTGTTCACGAACACTAAATCAATGTGACACAATCAATTACACACAGTACACGGTACGAAACAGTAGCACACCAGAGGACACTTTTACTTAAAGAAAGGGGAGAGAAAAGGTACGAAGTTGAGGACAACTTTCAGGGTTAGAAGAGAAGTTGACCTGTGAAAGTAGGAGACCCATCACAGCACACAAACCTTACCCTGGACCCCCAAACACCGACCTCTCAGTCCCTCTCGACAGATGCACAATGTCTCTCTGAACTTAAAGAGACAAAGTTAGAGACACCTGCTGTGAGAGAGAGGACAGGTCAGTAATAAAAGCCTGGAGAAAGAAATGATTTTGATACATTCTTGTTTCCTGTTGTATAGCTCATCACTTAGAGTGAAGTCTTTATTTCTGTGTTTCTAATTGCCTGAATWTAAATGGGGACAATTCAACACAGTCTCCAATTATTATTGTTACATTTTAATTAGGGCTGTCAAATGATTAAAATTTTTAATCTATTAATTCCAAGGTAGCTGTGAATTGATCACGATTAATCCCGATTAATCTTAAACTTAATATAAAACTTTAAATTTTTACATTTTTAAATATTATTTATTTATTAAATAAATAAAATAAAATAAGCCATAAGAAGACAAAAAGAAAAAAAACTGTACATATTGTGTTACACATGGAGTTTTTTAAAAATATTATTTATTTAACCTTTATTTATCCAGGTAAACTGTTTGAGAACCACTTCTCATTTACAAACATGACCTGGCATGCACTGAGTGCATTGCAACATGCAAACCTACATATTCAGCCATAGAAAGTGATTGTAAATTTTAATCGTGATTAAAATTTTAATCTATGCCCATGCAGCACTAAAAATAATCAGAGTTAACTCGATCAATTTCACAGCCCTAATTTTAATAAACATTTAAATCATACAATCCGTTCTTTAACTATTTAATTAGTTTTTTTGCACTCCTACATTTTTAATACTAACCAATACCAAAATCTACTTGACGGAGAAATTTTAAATATTACAGCCACATTTGTAATTTTTATTAAGCTAACGTGACATATACAGATGGTAGATCAGAATATAAAAATTTTTAAAATGTGGATATATTGATTTTTGACCAAGTTATCAGTGTTTTCACTCATTTCTAAGTGAAATATAACAACAAAAAAGGTGTATCARTAATCCCAGATTAGGTTTAAGAGGCATGCAACTCTTGTGAACCATTGAATACTAATAAAAAAAGCTCCATGTCTACATCTAAAATTTAAAAAAAAAAAAACAAATTTATAAATAGTTGTGTGTGTGTGTGGGGGGGGGTAAGCTCTTGTTCTACTGACATGGAATACCCATCATCATGTCCAGTTGTAATTTCTTCTTTAAATGACATTTAGAAACAAAATAAAATGAAATTTAAGTGTAAAAAGTACTTTTGAAGAATCACCTTTAAATACATAAGATATGGAAATAAAATAAAAGGCTAATTTTGTAAATCATATGGTCACTAATCACAACCTACACTACATCCAAGGGTTAGAAAAACACTTTAACATTAAAGTGCATCACAGATTCAGTTATATTATTATTAATAGTTATTATATAATCAATGTGCACCTTTTTTGTAATATGAAAACAAAAGATAAAATGATCCAAACTTTGTTTCTCCAGCACATGCATTTTTTTATTTGAAGAATAGGAGCTAAATAAAGAGACTTCAGAAAATTTGCAGTGAAGGTGAAACTCTGTTAATCTGTTCTGCATCCTGACAGCTGTGAATTTTAAAATCTTATGGTGTCACCACTTCTCAAATCGTAAACCCTCAGGATTTCTGTTTACACAACCTTCTGCAGAAAATATTTTTTAGATGTTAGTGATTTCATGGCCATTAAAAGTAACCAATAGACGTCCGTTAAAGGTTTTTGTAAATAATAATTTTTGCATCAGGATGGATACAAACAAAAAACAGTGACAGAAGTCTGACCACTCCTTAAACTGTATAGAAAACTGTTGGAAAGTTGAAGTTAATTTTGCAGTAAAACTGATAKTCAGAGGAGTTAAGAATCTTATACGTACCAAATCACAATAAAATTTAAAAAACTTCATGTAATTTATTCTGTGCTCATTTTAAAAATAATTGTCTGAAATGGGCCGTGTGGCTATAAACATCATTTAAGCTATACTGTTTCTATATAAATGTACAGATAGGATGTTTCTTGGAAACAACTCTAGAAGATTGAATAAAATACACATAATAACAATATGGATGATGTAACATAGTAGTAAAAATCATGCAGACCTATTATTCTACATGAAATATTTCTGTTATGGGCATATTTTAATTTAACCAGAACAACAATCTTCAAAACTATCACAACATTCACAATGAACTGTGGGTAAATTCATCAAGAGGTCTGCAAATCTGTGAACTTGCATAACATTTCCCATATCAGGTCAAAGGTTTAGAGCCCCTTACAGTCTGTAGAATTTGCCTTGAAAAGTGTGCCTGTTTGCAAAACAGCAAAATAAAAAGGTTCTCCAAGCAGCAGGTTAAATAAATATTTCATGATTGCTGAAACTGCACTAATCTGATCCAAAACCAAGTTTCTATTTCTTTGCTCAAGTTTCCAGACCTACAATTAAAACTAAAATTCACTCATAATAAAAAATAGCACCTCAAACTGTCAACAAAGGCTAATAATACTAATATTAACTAATACTACAAAACTAATAATAAGTCGATAAATTAACATGCAATGAGACATTTGTCTGATAAAATTTCTTATATTTTCTTTAAAACAAATAATCAAGATTTTTTTTCAGAGCTTCATTTATGTCATTCACAAAACATCACAAATAAAAAAAGACTTGCTTAGTGACAATCACATTATCATTATATAGTAAAATAAATTAAACATATTTTCTCCACTTAGGTGTGGCAGATGCACAAAATAAGGCTTTGCTTTRTTTTAAGTAACTCATTTTAATCCACAAGATTTTTCTTTTAATATTCCCCAAATAGGAGCCTTCAAAAATATTTTACTCATTAATTCTTTTTTCTTTAACCAAAAACTACAAATGTCTAAAAATAAAAAATAATTCTTGATCAACAACAATTATTTCATAGACAAATGACAAGTAGGCAACCAAACAGAATTAAACTGCACTTACATCCACAATGAAGAAGTCCAACCAGCACCAGGCGTTAGTGAAGTACTTGACAAAGCCGTAGGCCACCCATTTTAGCAGCATCTCCAGGATGAAGATGTAGGTGAAAACTCGATCTGCATAGTCTAGAATGATGCGTACGGTCTTCCTCTGTTCAATGTACACGTCTTCAAAGGCCTAAAACAGAGCAGGGAGGAGGCACACGTGTCAGGGAGTAAACTTGGGTAATCCACAGCATATTTAACTTCTGATTTATATAAAACACATTAAGTTTGGATAGTATCCCTGTCAATAAAAGATAGGGGTGTTAGTGTGTAGCAGATGCCTGACAGCTCATAACCTGCATAATTCTTCAGTACATAAGTGTTTAGATTTGGCCAGAGGCCTCTTTTTTTCCCTTCAGAAAGCTGCAAAGCTATGCTGAATTCTTTTGGTTGAAAGGTTGGTGCATTACAGCAATTTGTTGTCCATTAGTGGCTTTAACATCAAGAGCAGTTGCAGCAGAAACGCAAGCAGTGCTCTTGACTGCCCACATCCTTAAAGGGAAATAATGTTCTTTATGTTTAAATAAATGCTAAGTCCATTTGAATACTTACTTAGCTATTTTCCACACATTGTTTCTTACACACCATTTAGTGTAAAACCACCAAACCATTTGGTTTTCATGTACTTCACAGTAACATTTACCATTACATGACGCTTCTGAGTACTTTTTACAACGTTTGAGTGAGTTTGTTTGTGCTTTTTACCAGGGCTCCACTGCTGAGCAGGATCATAAAGATGATAAGGGTTTCAAACCAGTTGTGTTCTACGATCAGGTAGCAGGTCTTCCTCAGGAACCACCAGTGTTTGCCCCAGCCGTGAGTGATGGGAACATCACAGCACTTGTATTTAGCCACGCATTCTGCACAACAATTAAAAGCAGAGCTGCTGATACACAGCGACGCTTTCAAAAACTCCAAAATAAACAAAATGAACGTGAATCATAGTGAGGATAAGTCAACACCAGATTATAGGCAAAGTGTACCATCAGTCCAGCAGGCGTCTGGGTCAATATACTCCTCCACAACTTCAACCACCGCCACTTCCTCCACATCAGGCTTGATGTCTATTGTGCTGCCCTCAGATGAACTGGTGTCATCCAGCTAGGACAGAAGAGATCAAATCAATGTCTGAACTGCTTTCTTTATGTTACAGCTTCACTGAAAGCGATGCTATAAGCACACCACATACGTTTGGCACACTGTAAGCCATTACTTCAAAGTCTCTTTGCACTGGTATCCATTAGATATTTTAGAGCAGGATGCGTACATGTAGCTATGTTGCTTTTTTTTCTCTGCAGAGTTACATTCAAGTGACTGATAATAGTCGTCACAGAACTTGTAAAAACAGATTCTTTAGTTTTGAATGGCTGCTGAGGGATTGTTGTGTCGGAAAACTGTAGCTAAGCAAAAAGAAAAATAATAATAAAACAGCTGGTATAAATCATAATTATTCACCTAACATCTGAGGACTCAGAGCCATGTCAGTTCACATGAGAATGATGCTGCACTTTATTCAACAGTACGTAAAGACATGGCACCTCTCATTTAAAAAGGTTGATCCAGCTTGCATCAAACAGAAGCCAGGAAATGTTTTGAACAAGAGGGGAAATGTCTACAAGAAACCTGTTTGTTTGAACACTTTATGACATAAAATGTACATCATACTGYACTTTACACACTTCGATTGTCAGCAAAGGAAAGCATTTTCTCTCTCTTCATCTTTCGGCCTTTTTCTCTTCATCAAACAGCCCGTTGGCAGCTCTCTCTGTGTTTTCTCTGTGCTGAGTGCTCTGTGGTTGGACGTGATGCAGACAAGATGGTTGCGTTGAGGGAGTCTGATGGAATAGGATCCAGGTGCACGTAAAACAGCGCTGCAGCTGTATTGTCTTTTTTCTTCCTACAGTAAGTCAGGTCAAGGTGACCTACATATCACACACGTCTACAAGCTCTGGGCCAGGCTCATCCTTCTCTCACACTCGTAACATACAGAAGGCTTTGTTTCTCGGTCTGTCGCCTCATCGGGCATGCCTCTGTCTGCTGTTCTTTGTGTCTGCACGATCAGCACTTAGGCTCAACGTTACAGCACTTCTGTCTAAATGGATGATGGGAAGTGCAGCTAAGACCAGCCCTGCTTATCTCATTGTTAAACAATAAAGTTAACTTTTCTGGCAAACATGTAGATCATTTTGGAGTAAAGTCATAAAACGTGAAAGTGAAGACACTTTTGTGAAATTAGAGCCTGGTCTTCAGTGTAATACCTGGACACAATCAAGCAAAATATCACACAAACTACCAGAAAAAAAAAAACCCCTGTTTCCAGCCCCACTGCAACGTCCTTGAAGTGGAAAATTCTTGCTGGATGATGGAATATGGTGAAAAAAACAATAGCCTGATTTTAACCACAGGGACTGTTAAGCCATTGCCCTAGTTTGTAGTAAGTGTAATTCCCTAAATTATATTGCAGTACACAGTAATATAAACTGCCTAATCAGCTTTACTTCCACATTCTTCCATTGTGTCCCACATATTTTAGTGTAGCACACAACATGCACTGTTTTCTTCTCCTCTTCAGCCTCTGGCAGCTGCTGATGTTTGTGAGAGAAATGAAGGCTGCAACATGTTTTAATGCATAGGAGTTTCATCATTAAAGACACTTTCGAGGCGTTTTATCAGGCTGAAAAATGAAAAGGTTGAGGACTAGTAACGGAGCAGGTGAGGTAGAGCTCTTGTTTGTATCTTAGCACTGCTCAGAGAAAATAATACAGCCACGACACAGGAATGAGGAAGCGTTTACAGGAAGTTCACACAACACAAACTTAACCAAAGTTACTTACTTGTGTTCAGACAGGAATAAATTGGCAGCAGATTTTTTAAGGATGATATTCTAAGCAATGCCTTTTCTGTTTTTAATGCTCTGGTGTGTTTTATAACCGACCTCAAACTCCACTGCTCCCTTTTACTCTCTCAAATTAGATATTGCCTTGAAATTCTTTTCAAGATGCTATGTAACCAGTGCCTCCTCATTCGATATTGTACCTCTTTGCGCAGAGGTAATAAACTTTTTGTTCATCATTATTCTTGTTAAGCCAGATTTCCATAACAGTCCCACTCTTAGCAGTCCTTTCTACTCACGTCTTTGCTGTTCTCGATGTCTGATTCACTGCTGAAGTCTTCCGTGTTCAGGTTTTCAAAGTCTGACTCGCCGACTGCGATGGGAACGCACACGGTGAGGTTGGGGTTGTGGATGAAGGACATGTAGTCCTCATCAATCATGTACTTCCCCACGCTGCTCCCGATGCCGCTGGTTGTGCCGTTGCCATTTTTGGGATAGTCCAGTTCACGGTTGATGTCAACTGTGTGGTTTGCAATACAGTTCAGCTTCTTCTCATACATTTCATCCAAAGGTTTCTGCTCCTCTTCTATAGGCTGTGTTTTAGAAAAGGGATGAAGAGAAAGGCTTTTAGAATACATGAATGTAGTTGATGAGTTAATAGTAACAAATTGCTCTGATGTTCGCTGTCTTTACCTTCTTGAGCACTGTGGCTACCAAGACACGCATATTGGCCTTAAACCAGGCGATCCCATTCTTAATGCGGGCCACAGCAAGCTGGAGGTTGTTGGGCTCACCATCATCATCAGTTGCAGCGAGGTTGTCTGCACTGAAAGAGCTCAGCAGCAAAGCCAGAAACAGGTTCAAAACCTCAGGAAGAAAAACAAAACAAAACCTGGAACTCCAGAACTTGGCAATACGATTCGGTTGCACATACACTAGATAGTGTTTGCTTTTCCTTACCACCAGATTTCCAATAACCATAACCATCATGAAGACGATTATGCACATGGCCTGTCCTGCCACTTCCATACAGTCCCACATGGTTTCAATCCACTCCCCACACAGAACTCTGAACACAATCAGGAAGGAGTGAAAGAAGTCGTGCATGTGCCAGCGAGGAAGCTCACAGTCCTGTGCGATCTTGCACACGCAGTCCTTGTAGCTTTTGCCAAACAGCTGCATGCCCACCACAGCAAAGATGAAGACAATGATGGCCAACACCAGGGTCAAATTACCCAGAGCTCCCACTGAGTTTCCAATGATCTTTATCAGCATGTTGAGGGTGGGCCATGATTTGGCCAGTTTGAACACTCTCAACTGCAAGCGGAAAAGAAAACTGGATTATTTCACTGTATTTTGTTTGCAGATGACAAAACCTTTGATAYAATAATCAGGGGCGGACCTAGAGGAGTGGCCACCCCTGGCACTTGGTTGGCCACTGCAGGTAACACCCCCCAAATAACTGACAAATGAGTAGGGATCTTGGATTTTGCCATTGGAATTAGCTTTTGTTTAAGATTGTTCTCTTCTAATATTACTGTACTGTTTACATTTTCAGTTGTGTATGTTTAAAAATGGCTGAATTATAGGACTTTGTAAAATTAGCATTAGCATTAATGGTTTGCTTAATTTGGGATTAGCATTGGCTATTGGGACGTAATCATTCTTAGATACTCTAAAACCAAATTCATCTTAATAAGTCTTAAAATGGCTGAATTATAGCCATTTAAAGTTAACATCTTGAATGTTTGATCAGCATTTAGAGTTTAGTAAAGATTGTTTTCAGCTAATTTTACACTAATCTTCAGCTTTGTATAGCAGCTGAAGTAATTCCATTTGGAATTAGCTGTAGCTGCCATCTCAAAATTTCAAATCAAATGTGCTTTTCTACATTTGTATATGCCCCCCTAAAATACCCTGGCCACCTCTCTGCCAGTCAATACAAAAAAAAGTCCAGCTCTGCCCTGATAATAATGACATGCTATCTCATGTTCTTGGTGTTACATATGAGCAGCACATCTTTTCCACTCACCAATCGGAAAGACCTGAGAACTGAAAGGCCCTCCACATCAGCCAGTCCCAGCTCAACCAAACTCAGAGTCACAATAAAACCATCAAAGCAGTTCCAGCCTTCCTGGAAGTAGTAATAGGGATCCATGGCAATCAGCTTGGCAAACATCTCCCCCGCAAAGATGCCAGTGAAAACCTGCAGAAGCACAGTGGGTAAAGAGAGTTCAGTGGGATTCAAAGGGATTACTGATAACTTAAATTAAGGCAGAYATTTTTTCTTCACATTTTTATGTTCATAATGCTTTACAGTGTCTGCCTGCAACCAGGGTAGTACACTCTTTTTCCATTTCCAGCTTTTTATTTGGCTTTTCGGTTATAAGAGTGTATTCACACCAGGAAAGTCCTTTGGTCCACTTGTTTGGTCTGGACCAAAAGTGGGCTTAATTAATTATTTTTTTGAGGTTTGCACTCATATTGTGCTTTTTTGCAAGTGGTCTATAATTTGTAAACAAAGCCACACGTCATTAGAATGAACTGGGTTGGGACACAGCACAGACTTGGAAAGAAAGATGGAAGTCTACTTTTATTTATTATTTTTTTCTTTGAAAAGATGGAAGTCTGTTTTATTTATAATTTTTTCTTTGAAAAGATGGAAGTCTTGTGTGCTGCCTGTGTTATGTCCGTTATGTGTGCATCTGTCTAAATATCGAGGAGGCACAATGTCTCCTCATTGCTCCAGGTGTGTCCACAGGTTATTGTTTGTAGCGTCCATGTAGTGGACTGAGACATTAAAAAATGGTTCTCACTCTGAAAGACTTCATGTTTTTTTTTAAGATTTTCAACTTTTATACCACTTTCTGTTTGGGTCCTTAATTAGCTTTATTCCTCAATGTAAATATGTTGTTGACCTTTTGACTTAAAACTTGTTCAATTTAGTTTTGCTAATTTTAGTCCTCTTCATTTGGCTCCATGTCGGATTTATTGAGCGGCTGGCATCAGAATAGGATTTCTTTTAGAAATTGTTTCTTTGTTCTTGTTTCTAAAATAAAAAGATAAATATTTTATAAAAACTAATTGTTTGTTGAATTGCTTTATTTGCACTAAGTGAAATTTTTAAAAAACAGGTTTTACCCTCTAAATTTACAGATGTCACAAAATATTTTCAGTTTCCTAAATCCCTATTGAATATTTTTCCAATAGTGGCATTAAAAACAAAAAGTTAAATCTGGCATTGTATGGCTGCAGAAAGCAGCATCATTTTTATTGAATGTACTGTTGAGTTAAAAAATGCTCTGAACCATTTGTTTAGACCACTGCATGATAAATGTAGAGTCAAAAACAATTTTATTTATTTTATACTTTTTTTTTTACCATCAGCCCAGCAGMTAATTCTACATTTGCTCAGTGCTGCAGGAGACACTGGGTGATTCACACTGCGCCATCCAACGTCTTATGCAGACTGAGTTAAATTCCTGTTTCATTCCGGACAGCGTGCCAATGCTTATGACCTCATTTCCTGTCCAAGTGCTGACACAGAGCCAATACTGCTGTGCTACAGGGATATTTTGAAAGCAAGGGACGAGCACAGCCAAATCAAAATGTCTGCTTCAGGTGGTGTGCCCTGCCAAAGCATTTTGTAACACCCCTAATGTTACGTTTGGTGGTATGAAAAAACATAAGGCCTGCCTGTTCAGACTCTGGGTTTTCAGGAGCAACAGACAATGGTTCTAGGTCAGTTGTGGGCAATCCTGGTCCTCGAGGGTCGCTATCCTGCACGTTCAACTTGTTTCCCTGCTCCAACACACCTGATTCAGTGATTGATTTCCATTCTTAAGCTCTGCAGAAGCCTGGAAATCACTCATTCATCCAAATAAAGCATGTTGGAGAAGATAAACATGAACAACATACAGGCAGGATAGTGGTTGTCAAAGACCAGGGCTGCCCACCTGAGTTGTGGAGAGATGGCAACATTCAAATGAAGCTAAATGTTTAATGAGATCCCCATATGGCTACTCTGTATGGTAAGTGTGAGTCCTAAAGTGCACATGTCAAATGATGCATGAATTGCTTTAAGAAGACAGCTAATTGCAAAACGGTTCTGTAACTACAGAGGAAAGGTGATGAGCTTTATACAGATGGCAAAATTACAAAGGTGATGGATGAAATGTGGATTGAAAATGTGGAGAGCTGAAGCGTCTCACCAGGTTGCCAGTAGCAAGGACGCCCTCAAAATGTTCCGTCATCGGGTAGTGCTCCATGGCCATGAACAGGGTGTTGAGCACGATGCAGATGGTGATGGCTAAATCAACAAACGGGTCCATGACGATCAAGTAGACAATGTGCTTCAGCTTTAGCCAGAAGGGACAGCACTCCCAGATGAGAAAGATGTTAGCAAACTTGTACCAACAGGGAGGACACTTCCTCTGAGACTCCTCCAACTCTGCAGGAAAACATTAAGAAGGAAGAGAAATGAAACAAGCATTTTATGATGGGATGCATTTTACTCATCAGCTTCCAAGTTTTAGACAAATCTTGTGCAATCTGGTAGCATTTCAAAGTATGTGGAAGGATGACGCTCAGCTACCAACATGTAAAAATTTGGTTCAAAACCTGTAAAACTGACATTATTTTTGTTTCTTTGGCTCATTTCCCAGTTATGGCCATCTTGAATTGAGTTGACTCCAAAACCTGTCAAGTGGTTTCTGACATATTTTACCATTTTGATAGGTTGACTCCAAATGTTATTGCCAAACACAAACATTTTTAAACAAAAATCTTGCTCAGTTTGTTAGCGTTCAGAGTACATGTGGGGATGACATAAGCTACAACTATACCAAAATTCTAGCTCAGTATCTCTCATTTGTAAAATGTAAACAAAAATCCAAAACTTTAAAAAAAATTTTTTTAATACTTTCACCAAAACTCTATAAAACAGGTGCATTAAGCGTACCCTCTAGCAGCGTGTTGGTGACTACACTCATCTGACTGTTGGCTCTTTCCTTCCCTTTGAAGGAGGAGTTCAGCTGATCCACAGAGACCATAAGAGAGTCTGAGTGTTTCTTCTTAATCTCCACGTCTGTTGTCTGTATTCAGACAAAAACAACACAAGATCACTTAGAGCTAGTTCTGACAATCATTCATGAAAACGGATGCTCTGAAGCTGAAAGGAMAAAAAAAAAAAAAAAAAGAAATGATGCTCCAGATCTGTTTACAAGACAAAATAGAAAGAAACTGAACAGTTCAACACATAAAAACTGAAAATAACAATAACGTTTTTATATATTAGTCAACTTGTTCAGCTTTAAGTAATTTTAAAAACACATTCAATTTTACTGTGAACTCTCAATTATGTTAATTTAGCACAACTAAGGAGAACTACGTTTGCACCTAAAAAATTGAGAGCTTTGATTTGAATTCAGCTTATATGAAATTTTCTTAAAACAGCACATTGTTACAAATGTAGACATAGTTTATTCCTTTTAATAATAATAATAATAATAATAATAATAATAATAATAATAATACTGTCTCAGTAGTATTACAGTGCATGCAGTAGCATGCATGTCATGTCAACAACAGGGAATTCAAGTTGTCCATGCTAAATTCAGAAGAGGTAAAAAAAGGTAAAAAAAGGTCAGCTGAGAGTAAAAAAGAGGTCTATCATGCCAGCTGGAACAGGGAGAAATATTGTTACACACAAAGTTTCAGGTTTGTTGTTGCACCATCCAGGGCTACGAGCAGAGGATGAAAGAAGACATATAGGAGAGTCGCAGCAGCAGCAAGAGGAAAGTGGAAATGAAAGACAGATGCTGAWAGAAATGGTAGATAAGAACGTGTACCGAAAACACTAAAGGTAAATCTCTGATCGTGAAGGTGAGAACTTTTTTTATATTCAAGTGTTGCGTTTTTGGGATCTTAGTCTATAACATTAGTCATAATGTTGGTAAGATGATGAGTTTGTGGACAATGTTTCAGCTAGTTAGAGCCTTTTTGGAGCTGTTAAAAAATAAGCAATGGAAAAAGAGAATTCGATCAGGTTAGAGGAGTGAGTGAAAGATGTTCAAACAGAATCCAGATATTCAGGGAAGGAAAGAAAATGAACTACTGAGTTTAGGGGAAAGAGAAACAAGAGCCAAGAAGGGGGAGAGGTACTGAAGGAGGAGCTGCGAGATCAGGGCCGCCATCATCATCATCACCATCATCATCATCATCATCATCATGCCTAAACTGTATTGGTGTCCCACGGACGTCCTTACACTGTCATCAGTGGCTGCCTTATCTATTTTCACCTCAGGCAGAAGCCGTCTGCCGGGCCCTGGGCCGATGAGAGACACCACGCCGTTGCAGTCCACCGTGCTGTTCCTCTTCCCTCCTGAGTGGGGGGCCAGCGGGTGTATGCGCGATGAGCCCTGGCTGTAGCCGCTGTAGCTGTTGCGACGGTACGGTATGAACAGGGAGCCTCGGCGGTCTTCGCTCTCCTCCACCGTGCTATGCTCGTCATCCGCGAACTCGTTCTCCGAACCCATGTCCTTGGAGCGGCCTTTGAAGCTGAAGATGCTGCTGCGGCTGTTGTGGCGTGACATGAAGGGAGAGCCAGGGATGCTGAGCAGTGACTACAAAAAAAAGGAAAAAATAAACAAGGAGCGAGACAATTACGGGTTTTTGATTTTGATTTGATTTATTTATTTAACAGGAAAAGATTATTAAAAATCAAGCCTGACTCAGCATAATTGCTGTTTTACAGCAGGTTCCTGTTCT